AAATTATAGATTTGCATAGCAATTTAACTTTCTACTGAACATTTATAAGTACAATGAGCAGGCATTTTGTGGTCATAGCTTACACTGCTGCATTTTCTGCAAATTTCTTAATAACTTTATTGAAGGCATTGTTTTCAGAGTCTAAGTTGAGAGGAATTAAATTTGTCTAGTAGGAAATATACCATTCTTTACGTATCTGATTCCATTCTACCCTGAAAATGCCTATAAATAAATAAATTTATTTATATCAAATGGCAGGCGTTTTGATAGTTATCATTAGCCCTTTAGTTGACTTCAGGCTTCGCAGATAGGAAGGAATATCAAAGTGAAAAAGGTCGAGATGGGGGGGACAGAAGAGTGTTTAAAAGATGTAAAAGAGACAGACACAAAGTTGGAAAAAAGGTGAGGTGAGTACAGTTGAAGAAGTCGAATTTGGCATACAGTGGGGTGATGGTAGTTTGGAGTCTGAAGTCAACTGCCGGTTAATAGACTTTTTTGCCGTATGAGTATACGTTGCCCAGGGTGCACCACGTGGAGGTAAGCTCAAACTCCCGAACGCTCAGCACAGAGTAAAAGGTAGTCCATACGACATTGTTCATGAAGATTTTAATCTGTAAGTTGTATCTAACCAATTTTGTCCATTGAAATGCTGCACTGATTGCGACTAACAGCTGCGATGCGATTACTTATATACATACATGCTCATTTACCTATTCATCATTTTATTTCTTTCCAAAACTATGCAACCTACTCATTGTCAAATAAAATCATTCTTCGTTCTCAAGTATTGGATGAAAAACGCAATTCAAACTAACGTGGTACATAATCGAAAATAGATAGCCAAATAATAAGTGCTGGGTACTGGGCATATTTATTGCGGATGCCCCGCTTTCGCCTAGAATCTCTGCGAAGTGAAGAAGTTTTAGCAATGACGCCAATGATGCAAGTCATAATGCGGGTGTGAGAAAAATCACCATTAAAACAAAATTACTGAAAATTAATTGAAACTTTTACAATTCAGAGTAACAATTGCGAACTTGCAGGAATAGGCATTTACAGTATTATTTATTTCTGGAAGCAGTATATAAGATAACCCCTCACCGCCGTAGCTCAGCAAACTTCCAATAAAATGAACTTGTGGACGCGTTGGCTAATTTAGCCTTTGAGTGGTGGGTCCGTTTAATAAATATGTACATGGTTAGCAATTTATTTATTCCTAGAAATTACTTTTTGGGTTAAAATTCACTTAGACTTATAACTATTGAAATAAAATAGGTTTCAGCTTCTCGATATAATCACATTGTGGCTATAGCTTTTTAACCAGTGTTTGCAAAAACGGAAAAAGGCTATGCTTCTTCCAAAGTAATTGCTTCTATCCTAAACCTACTTCTGACTTTTAGCAGTAAGCAAAGATTGCAACAGATAAGAGCCTTTTACTTCATGTGCAAATATAATCACTTTAAATATCATAGTAAAGATTAAAGAGAAATACTGAGGAACTTTTAACTTAACCTTTAAAACCCAAGTTACCCCCTACCTTGAGAATTATTTTACTAGTAATCCGAAATTTCTAGTGGAATCTTGGTGAAATATAATAGAAAGCTTAGAATGACTAAACATGACCTAAAATTCTGATGTCTGAGTAGCTAAACATATCATAGCTTTGTTATCCTGTGCGCGAATAGTGCAGGTGTCAATGCCCATATCAGCCAGATCAAGGGTCAAATAGTCAGTGCCCATTGATCCATATCCACAAACACTTCTCTTGATGAATGAGACCTAATGCTAATAGACTAGAAATATATTTAGAGGTAGAATCAAAGGTGACAAATTCCCCTCTTTAACCAGGCGCAGTTCATTGTTTCCAAATATCGTCTTTTATAAGAACGCTCATGTGTTTCATAAAATGGACCTAACTGAATGCGAAAGTAGTACCCTTTTCCTGTGCATATCTTTTCACCTAGACAACCACAGCTAAAATTACATTATTTGGTGAACATCGGTAATCGATAAGGCGAGAGCATTTGACATTGTAGTAAAAAGCTACTGCTATAAGTGCTGATTGGTATTTGCAGAATGTGCCAAGCCTAAAGGCTTTCACAATGGTAAGGATATCAACTTGTGTCTTCTGCAGAAAATTCTAGAAATGCTCTAACTTCTTTACTGTCGATAAATAATCAACGCGATTCAAACTTTAAAATCCGTCACTTAGTAAAGGACCATCGGACCATTTCCAGTGTGATTATAAAGCGGTATTTTAGACTGCGTTTTGGAATTTCCGAAATTGCAGAAATTCACTTTCAGCTTCGAGCAAAATCTGACAGATTTATTTGAGACAAGCATTCATTTATTATATCACTATGCTAATTTTAATTAATTAATCTTTTATACCAAATTCACTAACTCAGGCAGATTTATACTCAAACGTGGTTGAGATGTTCAGATAATAGTGCCATTAAACATTGCTAAAAATAATTTGGTTGTTCAAGTTATGCACACCTGAAATTTAAACAATTAAAAGTAGCCTTATTTACAACTCACGGCCGATTAGAATTACCAAATCTGATAATCATCGAAGCAAGTCGATGGATGAACTTAAGAAGGCGCCTGTTTGGGTTTTGAATATGGTGCAATATTCCAAAAATTTTATTTACTTATATCAAATGGCAAACGTCTTGACAGTTATCATTAGCCCTTTAGTTGACTTCGGGCTTCACAGAGGGGAAGGGTAATCAAAGAGAAAAAAGTCGAGATGGTGGGGAGGGGGGAATAGAAGAGTGATTCAAAGATGTAAAAGAGACAGACAGACACAAAGGTAGAAAAAAGGTGAGGTGAGTGCTGTGGAAGTAGTCAAATATGGCATACAGTGGGATGACGGTAGTTTGAAGTCAGAAGTCAACTACCGATTTATGGACTTTTTGCCGTATGAGTATACGTTGCCCAGGTTGCACCACGTGGCGGTAAGTCTATCGCACACCCCAGGTTTGCACTCATAAGGTTTAATAAATTACTAATATTGTCAATACAATTCGTGCTATTTCCACAGGCGCCTTTCACTCAAATACATATTTACATTAGTGCAGGATGGTGATCTTCAGAATTAATTTTGAAATATTGATAATGAATAAATTGCACCCATTTTATCTCCAAGGCCAGAAACAGTGCAAGTTGCTGAGCAGTACCCGCCCCCGCCCCTCCCCTGCAATTTATTCCCGACAATCGGGAGGATAAAGCAGGATGAAAAGAGTACTTCTTCAACATGCCAAGTGACCACCCAAAGAGTTCAGGAAATAAATTTGAAGGGGATTATAAAGTGCGACTGAAGCTATTTTTTTCAAAGTATCTAAAGCTACAAGAACAATGGCAGTTTTGCGAATGATGGTGGAAATTATGCCCTATAGTTTAAAAGTAAACATTACAAAATAGACGCCTGTTACTCTGGTAAGCCTGTAAACGCGCGTCCTTTGAAAATAGCAACAAAACCAACTTTAATCGCCTACAGTACTTAATATAACAGCTCGCACTGATAAATACGACACATGTTGCGCCTCCTCCTTGTTGTAGAGGCACAACCCTGCGATTACGAAACAACCATCCAAGATGCACAACGCTTCTGTTTCTTCGAAGGACAAACTGCAAAAATAGCCTATATCATCAGGAAACAGTCCACAACACCCCATCCACGACCTCAAAGTCGTTAGCCCGGGAGGCAAGGAGCCAAAGTCAGTACAAAATATGGTCAATTACCGAACTGTGCAAATATCCACAGAAAGTGCAATATATCGTAACAGAAGCAAGACAAAAAAACGCGGCAAGATTCCCAAACAGCGCTCAGTCCTCCACAACGGTCAACCCACCAAAGGAATTCGTTACAAAACTATTCAATCAAACGAAAGGCAACTTTCGAGTATAACTGGTGACTACAAACCCGAATGACCAGGGAATCAAGGCCTCCTTATAATTTGTAAATATTTGAAGACAATATTGTACATTTTGAGCGATGATTAAAGGGGAGAACTCGATCGAGCTAAGAAACCATCTATTCCTGAAATTATCAGGAATTTCTCATCCTTATGATCGAATCAATTCTAAAATTAGAACAAAATTACTGTGCTGGTACAAAACTATTCACGAATCTACCAAGTCTAGAATGATTCACTGTAATAAGCAATAATTCAAGGAAAACAAGACATTCCCAGCAAATAGTACGAAAAGCCAAGTCAATGTGATTGATACAAAGTGTACATGCATTTTAATAAGCAGTAGTGGCCTATACAGGCAACAAAAAGCAATTTTCAACATAATTATGTGCTATTGCCATTACTAGTTTAGATATATTATGTACACAAGAAAATAGATGACAATAGCACAAACACGTTACAGAAAAGAAAAAAGAGGGAAAGAAGAGATTATAAAAACAGTGATCGCGAACAGGAGCGTGAAAACAATGTCGAATACAATTCAAACAAGGTGACATTAGACACACAATGATGGCCAAACTGTACAGGGAAGGTGTGATGAGCAAAATCATGATTCCAAAATGGATTTTGTCGATGCTGTCTCTGACGAAGTGGGAGGCAGTGAGAGAACAGAAAGGTTTGAATCCATGATAGTTTGCTGATCAATAAGTACTTCATCACTTGGAAGAAGTTTCGGAGGTGCAAGACCGTCCAGATCCTCAGAAGCAACCAGACTGGAAAATTTGGGATTTACTGATTGGTCATTGGTAGTCGATGGAGTTATTTGTTGAGTCGACATGAATACTCGATCCATGTCTACCAATAAAAAGCGAACTCGTTAACCAAACTAAGACAATGAAATGACTGAATAGTTAAACAATATTCTCAGAATGAGAAAACGCGGTCATCAAAATGATATGAACATCGTGAGAAAAGGCTCAATAATAAATTTTTTAAAGAGGAGGGGAAGGGTTCTAAATGTGTTCAAGATACTATTTAAATTAACAAAAGCTAAATAGCCACTCAATCCAATTTGACCACTGAAAAGTACATTTCTGCTTTGGAGTATTCCCATTGAGTGGGATTTAAATAAATATGGTTTCAATACTCTGATCCGATATTGTGGTACACCGAACCTAGCTATTATGGAAAATTTATTGTCTCTCCATGATTAAAATTGAATTTTTGTTGTTTACCCATTATCCATAGCATAAAGTATGTAAACAGACTTTATAATAATGTGAAAAAAATGAAATAATAACATCATATAATTCGATTATAGATGGATCAGGGAGGTAACTAGAGGAGGCAATACACACGTATGTGGACGAGTGGGGGGAAATGATGCTGATGACGAATTATACTGAAGAAAGCATGTGGATTTGTTGATCAACGCGTCTCATGACATGACGTTATTAAGCGACGATGATTAATTATTTCCTCCTTGATATTTACCTTAAATCCACTGGTGAACAACTAAAGGGTGTGACGATATTATGAGTGAAATGGTGGAAAGTGAATATTAGTCACCACCTTCGATAAATAGATACAAAAAAGCTAAAGCCTCTGAAATAGAGCAATGATAGCCAAAAGTTATTTCAGACAACGGGAAGTCAAAAATACTTTAAAAAATTAGTCAACAAAACCGAAAATTCCATGTTAAGGAAAGTTGAACATAAAAGGTGAAGTACGAAGCCGCCAGCTGAATGCGAGTGTTCGACGAAAAAAATCACTATTGACATGATCAGTGCCCCTCAACGCAGTGATCATTAAGGGCAATTAGTAACTAATTTCAAGTTTATTCAAGTCTTATAAGCGATGCATCTGCAAGTAACATCATCGGTAATGACAACGAACCCTGCAGGAGCTGTCTGAAAATATTGTTTGAAAAAGCAGCAGTATAAACCTGTTTGACTAATGGAGATAACTGTCCTTATTTCCAGGGGGCACATTCTCCATACACCAAACAAAACTTTATTTTCATCTGCTGGCCGGATTAGGATATAGCTCCGTATCAGGGATAATAAATGGACTTATAATTACTTAACACTCTAATCTCTCCTATACAAGGTTACTTAACATTACATAAGAAAGTATTAAACCATCAACACATTGGGCAATAGCAAATCGCAAAACACGTTTAAACTACTATGGACAACAATGGCAATAAGTGAGAAAGGCTCAATCAACAAGGAACGCGAATCGAGTTTAGACCTGCATTCATGTACATAAAATGCTCAAGTAGTCGCATTCTACTTAACCTCTACCTCTATATGGGGGTAAGATACCACGATGGGAGATAGACCACCGCGACAGAAAGCGGACCAATAAGCATTACAAATCTATAGTAAACTTACTTTAAAGAGAACTTAAGGCAAGAAAGTTGACTGTGGGAAAGCTAAATTGGCATCAAATATATTTTACGAAAATAGCTTGACTTGACTTTGCCTAAGTTGATATTATTATTAAAAAGGGAATTATATTAAAGAATGCTTTCATTTTTGAAGGTAGAATAAGGATTCCAAAACCCCTATTATTATCTCACCTTCAAACTCTACACTTATTCGAGGTAATAAACTTATGACACGACCATGAGATAGAACAAACCCAAACTCAGGGAAAAACAGAATAGCAAGAAAGTAATTGTTGAGGGAAAAGGAGAAGAATCGACAGAGATAATGAATGTAGATCATACCAGGAAAGAATGGACTCGCGCATTGAGGAACTGTTGAACCGAGGAGACACAAGAGGGACACAGGGGACAAAGACAACATCAAGAGACAGGTGGGAGGCAACAGCCTAAGACGCACCTTGTTGTTGGCAGGCGGGAGCAGAGGAAGGCAGATTAATCATCCCACTTCCACCGCTGCCTCCATTGGACTGGGAAGAGGCAGAAGTTAACACCGTCTGTTCACTGGAATTGTCTCCGTTTCGTGGAGGATTGTTCGGCGTCTCTGATCGGCCCAATGACCCTGGACCAGAACCTGCAAGGCGACGAATGTTACTCAATTCCCAGGCTGTTTGTGTATTCTGTCTTAAAATTAGGATAGAGTAAGTGCTAGAACACTCCCTCATCCAATTTACGCATTAAGTATTAACGCCATATAAAGGAAACCCCATACTTAAATGTAGTCTCTCTTAATATTAATCAAATAAGACGAACTCGATTTCTCCGGCCATCTACGCTTGAGTGGTGAGGCAAACAACTTAACCACATTTGGGTAAGAAATGTGGACAACTTAAGAGTTACGATTAATAGCACAATGTTGTTGATACAGTAGATAAAAGTAACGAACTCTAATTGTGCTCCTCATGAGCGAATAAAGGAGGGGTTATTTCAAAACCTTTAATATAACTAAATAAACCCTATTCATAAAATTTGGCTTCCACTTGCTCAATACTGGCGTCCTTCGTATCCCTTTATAATTCTCAATTTCCCTTCCTTTTGTTTTTAATGCAGACAACTTCTTAAAATACGTTTAAAGCTACTTAGATTTCTTACCATCAGAGATCTGCTGTTGGTGCATTCGAGGAGTTGGGGCCCGACCTCCAGCCGTTGAATCGAAAGGAGAGGTGAGAGTAGGAGGGAATTGAAGAGAGGTACTTCCACCACCTGGACTGGCACTACCACCGGTAGCAGTATTCGGGCTTTTTTGGAAAGCTGCAGCAGGACCGTTATTCTGACTTGGGGGAGAAATACGAGCCTCTGATTGCTGTGGAGGTGGTGGTGGCGGAAATGTGGGAGGTTGCTGTTGCAAACCGGCCGTGTTGAGAGAAGATGTGCTACCCGACCTTGGAGGAGGACCGCCACCAACAGAATCAGTTTCAGGTAGACTTGGAGGAGGGGCAAACATCATGTGAGCGTTGCCTGAAATTATGAAAATAGTGATAGAAATATGGCACGAGACCAGTAGTGATTAGTATTTGCCATTTAAAATTATCATCGGCTTGACTTTACTATTCAATTTGACAATTGATTATACCTACGAAGAGTACAAACAAACCACATAGCCACATTATAGGGGCTTTCGAATCGGATTAGATGTTAAAGTTAAAAAAGAACGAACTTCCTGTATATTCACTTTGCAAAACTTCAAAACAATTTAGTAAATGCCCTCGCGATTCCAATCCAGGTCAGGTTCAGCGTAAGACACAATCGGATCATAGGTCAAGTAAAAAAATAAAAATAAAAGTACCTATACTGGGGCCTCCCAAAGGCGTGGTTGGATTCGCACCAACCATTCCGACACTGACACCCATAGGAGACATAATTCGGCCTCCACTATGAGGTGGTACACTGGCAGGCATCATAGGATTTCCTCCTCCACCATAGGACATTGGATTGTTGGGTTGCTGCAATCCCTGCTGTTGTTGAGATGGAGGAACACTATTTGGATGACCGTATAGAGGCGATTGGTGCTGCTTCACAGGTGATGAAGCATAGGGTGGGCCAGGAGGACCGGTATATATCATACCAGAGGGAGGCGAGGAGGCAGTTGACTGGAATGCAGGAGGGGGGAAAGAAGGCGGGCGACTAAACGGTTGCTGCTGCTGCTGCTGTTGGTGATGTGAAATCGGCATTTGGCTCCCTGCTGCAACAGCATTCATCTGTTGCTGCTGCTGGGCTGCTGCAAGCGCTGCCGCTGCTGCAGGATCAAACTGGCTATTCTCTAACCGAGTTATCATTCTCTCGTCATCCTCACCAAAATCACCACCCATTAAAGTAGGCTCACCTACAATTAGAATTTCCTACAAATAAAAAAAACAAGTAGTAAGGTATTTGATTTCATAAGCCTCCAAAATAAAGCAAAACTAGCAACTCGTTGAATTTGCGCGATACTTCATTAATAGTAGCTTGAGAATAAGACATTATTATTCCATTAAATGGAACATAAAAGGAATTAAGATACCGAAAAGATTATAGTCTACAATTACACACATCAAATTACAAAATCCGTTTCATGTCGTAAAAGCAAAGGTGGACAACAAAAAAGATAATTCAAATCACTGCACAATGTTAAGGCAACTTCAGATAGATGCGCGAGAAGACGAAATTTGGATCAATACTGTAAACAATTTCCGACCCTCAAATATCAAAGGATAAAAGGGTGAGCAATACACATTCGGAATCATCTATTCTTAACACGAAGCGTGAAAAGATACAAAATGAGCTAGCTAAAAAACAAAATGCACTTGAACTGATGATGAAGCTAAGTTTAAGTACAATTCGAGTAACTCTCTAGCTCATTTTACTGCTAGCTCTTTCTGTGCTTTTATTTTACAGGTGGCATTTGTTCAGTCATGATAAATAAGAAATCAAGTCTTACAGATTGACCGAGATTTTGTGGAGGCATAGGAACCGGAGATTGTTTGCGTTTAGTTGCTCGGCCACCACCAGTTTCAGAATTTGCTGAAGATCCTTTCCGCTTCCGACGCTTATTTGTTTGGCGATTCGACTCTTGAAGAAAAGAAATGTTAAACGCGAACAAAAATTAACAAACCAATACAAAAAACGCGCTAACCTGCTTTGGTGGGCTGTGTGGGAATGGTAGTCATTCGCTTCCATCTATTCATGACAATATTCCTAAGGCAATCTCTCGGAGAAATGTTCTGGAACTTCTGGCGGGACATTAACTCCTGCATGGGTTCGAGAATAACACAGAGTCGGAGAAAATGAAGCGTGGTAGCTGGAATGCCTGTCCTAGTTATATTCTTCGAGAGTTGATCGAACATAGTAGGATCTTGTACACCAAGCATAGAGCGCAAAATCAATTCACGATGAGATCTTATTTGAAACGTCCAAGTGCGAATGCGCATTAGTTCGTCAATGGTGAAGCCAAGAGTGAATTGAGCGTCAACGATAACATGAGCAGGAATAGGACGGGTCATACTCATGACCATATTTGCATTATCCGACTCTATAGTCAAGAAGGGACTGTGAAAAGACTCTCTAGTATGCCGCAAATTGAAATACAACTCATTACATCCGCTCTCAATTATGCTTCGAAAGTATCGCGGAATAAGTGTTCTTCCGATACCTGAGAACAAATAAATGAGGAAAAAAGGTAACGCATACTGAAATGTTTGAGACCATCCTCAAAGCGAACTGTTATGGTGATTGTCGCGTCATCATCAAAGAAATCCGAAGCAAAAGCTTCCCACCATTGACTATCATTCTCCTTAAATATCGCATAATACAAAAAAAAACGAACTTACATCAGCCCTCTGTGCCAATCGCTTATTCAACTCGTAAATTCGAAATTCCGGCTGGAACCCACCTCTATGTCTGCCAAAGAAGAAAACAATGGGAGATACATGAAAAAAGTGGCGCAGAGGTCAACATGCAAGTCCGCTAGGTCAGCGGTTGCAAGATAAATGCCCACATATTGGCACGGGTTATTGTGAAAAAAGCAATGATTTCAAATCTGCAGACAGTGAAGATAAAAAAATACATACTCATACATTTGACAAGAAAAAAAGAATATTCGATTCTGAAAACTCCACACCCGAGAGAACTATAAGATAAAAAGAAAATGCCAATGAATTTTCTCAATCCACGAAAGAATGATACTTTAAACGCAACCTTATTTTATGCTGCAAATCGCAAAATTAGCGAGACAAAACAGCAACTCCTGATATATCAATTGGCAATTAAAATTCAAGATAGTGAACCTCTAGTAAGACAATATGGATACCCAACAAAGAGAACCGAAATTTGCATGTTCACTCCAAAATTGTATTTCAAAATATCGTAACGAAAATACCAGCTTTTGGGTTGCAATGAAATACCCATATAGTTATCTTAAACCGAAACCCATTTCAAGTCACATGTAACAATAAAACTAGATTGAAAGCCTGGGTGATAACATAGAGAAGAATAAAGAAAATCTGGGGCAAAAGATCTATATCAAACTGAAGCCCCAACAGCCAATTTCAATACATTGTGTTGAAAACCCATAACAGGAAAAAAGGATTTACAAAATCTAGTAAATATTAACTTGAATAATTTTCCAAAAGAAAACTAATTTTACCATATTTACCAGAAAGATTGGTATTTATTTGAAAATCACATTACCCTATTTGGAAAAAAAGGTATACAAATGATGAAAAAATTCTAAGACACGATTCACTAAATTCGGGGCTTTAAAGAGTTTCTATCACATTTTGGAGAAAAATGTAAACGCTATGGAGTGTGCGATAGACTAACCTCCTCGTGGTGCACCCTGGGCAACGTAAACTCATATGGCAAAAAAGTCTATTAATTTGCTGTTGACTTCTCACTTCAAACTACCACCCCCCAACGCCCACTGTATGCCATATCCGACTGCTCCCACAGTACTCACCTCACCTTTTTTCTACCTTTGTATCTGTCTCTCAAACCCACTTCCGTCCCCCCCCTCTCGACTTCTTTTCACTCTGATATTCCTTCCTCTCTGTGAAGCCCGAAGTCAACTAAAGGGCTAATGATAACTATCGAAACGCCTGCCATTTGATATAAATAAATGTTAATGCTACTGACGAAATGATTTAAAAAAACTTGCATTTAACTTTAGAGACATTCAGATAAGTGGCAGAAAATGTTCGATAGACCTTGAACAAATGAAATGACCAAAATCCGCCCCCCCCCCATAAATAAAAATGAAATTAGGTCTTGAAAAAAAACAAAGCAAACACGCAATCATAAGGATAAACGCAAAAAATAACTAGAAAATTCACTTACATGGGAAGAGGAGGATGAGCAGGATGGCCATGCATTGGGTGGTGAGGATGATTGTGAGAAGGGAGAGGATGTACAGGAGGCATCTGCATCGTGGGAATCCCCCCGACAGAACCCCCTTGCGACGGGAGCGGTGGTCCGTGATGATGTTGTTGCTGCATTATAGTTGATCCACCTAATTGCCCACCACTAGGTTGCTGAGGCAACTGGGATATGGGAACTCCATGATCAGATCTATCTGAGATGGATGGATGGGGTGCGTAATGAATTCCTGGTGGAAGTCCGGATGGAATTCCACCAGAGGCTCCAACAGGCAGCATCATAGTTCCAGGATGCATTTGGGGAGGGCCGAGATGACCTGGACCCGAAGACATTGACATCACAGGGGATTGCATTCGGCAGTTTGGATTACCCCCCGATGGAGGGCCTGTCAATGGCGGAGTAGGCCCCCTTGGGGGTAAAGTAAAAGGTGCAAAATTTGGTTCCAGTTTGGCGAAATTTAAAACTGTATGAAAAGATCTGCAAAGGTGAAGAAGCAAAATATCACAATATTAAGTAAATTGAAAGGAGAAAACAAAAATATACGTAAATATTAATAATATACAATGAACGATTCGGATATTAGGTCAACACACGTCGTAATATCAGATCAAAAAAGCAGTAAGTAAAAAATGATGGGGAAAAAAGGGAGGGGCAATATTAAAACTAGATATAATTATTTGACAAAAAACCAAATACCAAAAGACTTTCAAAATGGATGCAAAAATTTGAATCCCCTTCATGAAGTTTATACTATAAATGAATTAAACAAAGTCAATAATAAAAATATCTTCATTAGCTATCTTCGGTTGGATTTTACATTAATATATTTTAAAAAAAATAAGGTCATAATAATAATTTTTCTAAACGTTTGTTCGTCATGGATAAAATTATATATAATGCTCATTCATGTATACTCTATTAATCTCTTACAATGTTAAGATTTCGTCGATAGTCCAAATGAGCTGCTCTAGCGCGCAATGACGATATGGCAGGTGGAGATATCTTGATCAACTAATCAACAATGTTCATAAAAAAGTTCATACTTGAAATTGAGGGTAGAGAAGTAATCTTTAATCATGATAATACCTAGCAGTAACGGTTTTTCATACGATTTTCGCTTTAAAGAGAAGCGAATTCTATGTTCACGAATTTACGATATCTTCTTTTAAATTATCTTATAGTTTGCGTGTTTTCTTATTCATGCTACATATGAATGCTCAGAACAGAACAGAATCTGGTTTCATTTATGGCAAGTTGAAAGTTTCTTTAAATGCCATTATTCGGTCTTGATCTATTATATTCGATCTTTAGCTATCGTGAATCTATTTTAATCAAACTTATAAATTTGAGCTCCAAAAAATTCCTGTTGTTTCTGCGCGGAAAATTAAAGAATGAATATTAATAGGATTTGATTTGCAAGGGGCCATGCACTTTCCATATAGCCCGTATTCTAAGATTTCTCAAAACTAGTTAAACGTTGAACAGTTCCAAAACGGAAAATTAAAGTCAGCATCTATGTTAAGAGACGGGGTGTGCGATAGACTTACCACCAGGAGTGCACTCTGGGCAACGTATACTCATACGGCAAAAACGTCTATTAACTGGTAGTTGACTTCTGACTTCAAATTACCATCACCACACTGTATGCCATATTCGACATCTTCCAAAGTACTCACCTCACCTTTACTCTATCTTTTCTGACTTCGACTTTGAAACTCTTCTGCTCCTCCCCCCCCCCCCCCCCCCCCCCCTCTCGACTTTTTCACTTTGATGTTCCTTCCCCTTTGTGAAACCTGAAGTCAACTAAAGGGCTAATGATATCCATCAAAACGCCTGCCATTTGATATTAATAAATAAATGTTAGGAGTCTGATTTTTACATTGGCTTCTGGGCAAAAATTTGAAGAGAACTCTCACTTATTATTCATGTAAATTTGAGACGTACCTAACAAGGTATTGAATCAATTTGTCAATCTGGTAAAAAGCTTCAATTTAACTTTCAAAGTTATTAAATAGCTTTTAACCCCCCTCCTCACACCACTTAACAACTTAATATTTTGATGTACAAGAGTTATTGAAAATGTTAAGTTGATTATCTCTTCTTCTAAATTACTATTTTCTGCAGCCTATAGACACTTAAGATTTGAATCCGATCCTCATTATGTAAACAAAAATTATAATTTAATTGTATTAAAAGGCAAATATGAATAACTTGCAATTTTTGCGGTTGAAATGTTCTAACCTAGATCTCAAGGAGATTTTTGTTACCTCGTTTACACGCGTAACTGAAGGTGAGACAGATTCTTATCTTATTGGCTTTTGATTCCTCTCAAGTATTTTAGGGCCCCTGCTTTTGTGCTTGCGAACTCTATAAGTTACTCGTGTGTGCCTTCAGATTTCAATGTATATTTATAATTATTTATTTAATTACTAATAACATAATATTCGTTCTTTGGTTGATTAACATATATTATAAATAGCTTATAAAAAAATAATTTCACATTGAGATGAAAGCATTGATTCTTGTCGGTGGATATGGTACTCGACTACGACCTCTAACTCTCAGTTTTCCCAAACCTATCGTTGAATTTTGCAACAAGCCACTTTTGCTTCACCAAATTGAGGCTCTTGTGGAGGTATGCATGTTTCGTATTGGCTTGTTTATATCAATTTCCTTTCTGGTTTTATTTGAAGTATTCTCGTATGTTCATTTCAGGCTGGTGTTAACGAAATTATTCTTGCAGTCAGTAAAAGTGCAGATCGATGTGATCTTTTAGAAGGAGAAGTTCGAAAACACGAATCTTCCGTGGGTCCTTCCGTTTGGTTATGGGATTGAACTTATTAACTTTGAATTTTCATCTTTAGTATTTAAATTTTTCAGCTTGGAATTACCATCCGCTTTTCTTACGAAACAGAGCCCCTTGGAACTGCTGGTCCATTAGCTTTAGCATCGAAATGGCTCTCGGATTCTGATGAGCCCTTCTTTATGCTCAATAGTGACGTCATTTGTGCTTTTCCATTCGAGGCTTTGAAAGAAGCTCATGCCAAGCACAAGGGAGAAGCTACAATTGCTGTATGTCTTTTCATGCGATCTCCTATTATTGTAAAAATTTTGCTTAATTATTTCCCTTTTTTCAAGCTGACCAAAGTTGAGGAGCCTTCAAAGTTTGGTGTGGTTCTCTTTGAGGATAAAACAGGCCAAGTTAGACGTTTTGTTGAAAAACCTACTGAATTCGTTGGAAACAAGATTAATGCTGGTATCTACCTTATTAATCCCAGTGTTATTTCTCGCATTCCGGTAATTGTTCTACCCACTGGAAGTATATCCACATACTCGTTTCATTACCTATCTGTTTTAATTCAGTTGAAACCTACCTCGATTGAAAAGGACATCTTTCCTGTGCTGGCTAATGAAAACAAACTCTACTGTCTCCCCATTGAAGGTAATTTCAGCATTCATTCTGATATTCTTGAACAGGCCAAGTTGTTATTATCACTTTATGTTTGGGTTTCAAGGCTTTTGGATGGATGTTGGACAACCGAAGGATTTCATAACTGGCACAGCTCTTTATTTAGCCTATTTGGCACAAATTCAACCCAAAGCTCTTGCCTCTGGTCCTAATATCTGTGGCAATGTTATTATTGTGAGTTCGTTTGCAACGTATCTCGATCTGTCCATTCAGGGTGTATTGAAATCATAATATTATCAAGGGTTGGTTGATTGTTGAAACTTATTTCACTTCGATCTTTTGAAAAGCATAAGCTCCTCTTCAGTGGTGTAACCCTGGAAAGTGCATTATTTAGCACAATTGTTTATCTACCTCTAAGCAATTGACCCAAAATCTGGAGGAAACTAATACGCCAATTAAGTTACTGACTAACTCAGCATAGTTTATGTATGAGTACAACTCGTCTCTGTGTTATTTATTTTTAGGTCAATGCATCTCTTGATTAATAACAATTCCTAGCCCAATTACATGTAAAACTGTCAGGTGCGGTGTATGCTCTTTTGTTAATAGATTAAAGAAGCTTGGTTTTAAACCATATTTACCTTCCTCGTCGCTCGGCCTTCGACCTTCTGTGTCCACTCTATCGAGTATCCATTATAAGAAATGGCTTCGTTCGAATAAAGTTAGGAGAAAACGTTAAGAGGATGGATAGTTCCACGTTATACTCTCGAAGTAAATATCTTCCTATCGGTGTGGATTAAGTATATAGGATCTGAGTGGAGGTTTTTTAAAGCGATTATTTTGAAGCACCATTCATTTGGCAATTGCTGAACAAGTAATTTTACTCGTGGTATTTTTCCCAAATTAAAATTTCTCTTGAGCCGGAAATTACAACATGAATGGCTGATTCTTGCCTATTTAATAATATGCACTACACAGTCTTAATCGTATTTGAACTTAAAAGTAGCAGGATAAATTCCGTATTATATGAACAATGGACTAATTTTCGATGTCATATGAAAGCCCTGAAATACAGGGTGTTTGAGGTAGCTTTGTCAATCCCATCGGGATAAAGTAGAGTGATTGGTCACTTTAAATGTTAGCATATTTAAGGAAGATTTAATAGACGAGGAAATTCTTTCTTTGTAGGGGGTTTTCACTCCAAACATTTATCATTTGCACTTTTTGTAACCTTATTCTGACTCTTGAACCTGGAGCAAGCTGGTTTTGGACTTTTTGCTTTAATTCTCTCCATTATCTGGGATTTTATAGTACTGGCACGACAATTAGTATTCTCCTAGATAGCGCCAAATAATTGCATAGTAGTCCACCGAGTTAAGATCTGAATTCGCGAAAGTGGCAACTATTTTTGACTCTTCCCTGAAGTGTGTTAGGGACCGAATCTTGCTGCCATCATATGTATGACCTATTGTTGTCCACCCCCATTCGTTACTCAAGGCCATACCACTGCAGTGGTCAAGAATTCCAAATAGCACCTGATTTCAATCTAAGGCTCTCATCAGAAAAAGCAAAAGAAGGCATCACATCGCCCTCGAAGCCGAGCACGCATCCGATTACAGGGAAATCTGCCGTGGAAGCACAATCAGATCATGTCGTCTATGATACTGTTCTCTTCTAGGCACAGCCTCTTAGTCTCCACTGCATTTCTCCTATTTATGCCGCTTTCTTTTCACAGTGTTCGAGGAGCATTGAGTGTCGACTATCATCTCCTCAGTTTCATGATCGACGCAACTCAGCATAATTAAACTTTTTCTTTTTCATGATTCAGGTGGGTTTCTGCCATCCACTCGTGTCATCACGTATGCGAATGCAGAAGGGTTTAAGCTTGTAAAGGAAGTGAAGTGTGCGTGAACACTCTTAATACATCTGAAGTAAACAACCAAATATTGCTCTACAATTTTTTTTGCATTATCGGTGTATGTGTAGGTTGTTTTTATTTAATTTGAAGCGTCTCTATAAGTGTATGCTTGTCTGTTAAGTTTAACCGACCCCGATGTGTGTCGATTTTCATATCCATTGGAAGCAATTTTATACTCCACTAGTATGTTGTGCCACATCAGAGAACTAAACACAGGACCAAAATTTATTCAAACTCACTATTGGTCATAGAATGTGGGAAGGTATAGGCAGAATGTTTTGAAGGCTGCTGCTGAGATGCTGTTCCGTTTCATATATTTTCGTTGTAAATCATGCTCTGAACACTCACTCTGTAGGCTCAAATCGATTGGATGATGGTTAACGGTCTTATTTACATTTTTAAAACAGTATTTCCTGTAATTTATAAATAAACCCTGTTGGCTGATAAAGTAGTGCCCAGGTTAGCAATCCAGATGCACACTCAAAATGGCAGCTACATGCATGAAATTTTTTCCCCATATGGTTAACGAGAGTCACTCCTTGAATCTCTAGGCGCTTGGTAAATTTTGAAGATAAAGGCATTTCCCCACAGTGGACACGGAACATCTCTTTCGAAGCTAGTGTGTAAGTATTAGCATTGACACTAGAGGTTGGCTTGTTCTTAAATCATTCCTTTGGAATGAATTTAAGAACATGTGTTTCCATTTTCTCACCTCTTTCCTAGTGGTGGATGCATTTCTTTGTTCGTAGATATAATCTGCAACTTATTGTAAATTCCAGATAAAAGACCCGAGAAATTCTAAGGAGAATGTTTTTTCGATTGTACGGCAATCCATACATTTGCCGTTAAAATTGGGACAAGTACAAACATTTGAAAGTTAATTGAGGTCAAGATCTTACTGAACAGTTTTAATTGTGGATATGTCAAATGTTCGATTCAGATGTGATCGTCTCTTTTGAGTCTTCCGGTGTTTTGTACGTAGTTCTTGAAACCTGACTTTACGCACACCACACAAATCTAGAATTCATAGTGCCTTCTAACGTCATTTTCTCAGCATCCAAGTGCCAAAGTGAGTGACAAATGTCTAATTGGACCTAACGTTGTGATTGGTCCAGAAGTCGTGGTTGAAGAGGGTGTCCGAATTCAGTCGTCGACTCTTCTTCGTGGCAGCAGAGTTCGTGACCATTCCTGGATTAACAGAAGTATCATCGGATGGTTTAGTTCGGTTGGAAAATGGGTAAGTTCTTACTCTTACTCCTGAAGGTCCGGTTTTTCTTAGGCTAATTTTGTTTATGCACAATGTTTAATACTGAGTCTTAAGCGAAAATGGTTGAATGTTGAAGTGTGACTTAATTGACTACTTCTTCACTCATAGTTTCCTTCATTTCATTGACAAGTCTCCCATGAAATCATGTATATGTCAGCTTATTTGAAAAGATAGTGTGCGCTATTCCATATAGACGGGCAAATACGAAGCAGCAACGCAGACGTAATATGCACTTCTGATGTGCCTCAAAGGGGTTAAAATGTCGATATTATGATATTAAAATAAAATATGAAGCCTATCATTCCACTTTTAAAGTGAATAGTCTCTTTTCGAACACCTGATACGAACTTAGATTCCGAGAAGCCCAGGTGAAGTGGTCTTTGCGCTACATCCTCAAAACTAATCCATATTCTTTATTATGCTTATTCTTCTATCTCTAGATATAAATTACACAGTTATTTTATCCATTAATCTTCGCTTTCTTATAGAGACTATCCATCATTTTGTTATTAAACCATTGTGTCTTATTTTATTAAGGTTCGAATGGAGAATGTGTCAGTGTTAGGAGAAGACGTGGAGGTGGTGGATGAAATCTACGTCAATGGAGGCAGAGTTCTACCCCATAAGCAGATTAAGGAATGCGTTGCAGAACCTCAGATCATCATGTAACTTCATTCTCGTTCATTCTATCTTCCATTCAATTTTCTTTCTCTCTATTCCGTGGATACCCGTGAATTGTTTTTCATAGCCTTGTATGTGAAATCAAATAAAAATTGTAGATGCAAGTTGAGATTTGGGGATTTAGGTGTCTTCCTAGTGCTTCTAAAAGAGTATGTTTGAGGAGTTTGGCGTTTATGTGTGAGAATGCTTGAGCCATCTCCGAGCTAGAGGCCATACGTAGAATGCAATTATTTGTCTACTGTTGTGCTGAGGGCTGGGGAGTTAAATCGTCCCTACTTGATATGCATACAAACGTGTCAAGTTTGGGATGTTATTTCATCCTTCTCTCTGTGGTCGAAGTTTGGAAGCGAGAACCGTTGCTATATTAAAACCAACACCTTCACTTATTCAGTGCTTCAAGATTAAATTTAAATTGATGGCCCTTATTGGATCGGTATCGCTTTAGTTTGCAAGGGGCTTGTCATGGTATTGTATAAAATTTTCTAAATTCCGGACAATTGTACCGCCTAATTCACGTCTCTTCATTTTTTATGCAAATGATCAAGTGATTGCCTAAATGGGATCATCACTATATTTACTTGTTTAGTTATTTATTTATATCAAATGGCCTGCGTTTCGATGGTTATCATTAGCCCTGTAATTGACTAAAGACTTCACAGAGGGAAAGGAATATCAGAATGAAAAAAAGTCGAGAGGGGAGGGTGAACAGAAGAGTGTTTCAAAGATGTATAAGAGACAGACATAAAGGTAGTAAAAAGGTGAGGTGAGGACTGTGAAGGGGTCGAATATGACATACAGTGGGGTGATGGTAGTTTGAAGTCAGAAGACAACTACCAGTTAATAGACTTTTTACCGTATGAGTATACGTTGCCCAGGGTGCACCACGTGGAGGTAAGTCCATCGCACACCCCTTGTGGAGTCGTCTTCAACTATACTATTTTAGCTGCTTCTGATGCTTGTACTAAGGCTACAAGTTTTAGACAAAATATTCTGAGACCAGGCGAATCAAGATCGCCTGTTTATAGATTATAGCTCTATGGCTAACAGGCGACAACCATTGTTTCTAGGAGAAAACCATCACTTATACAAAGTCCCATTATACAGCTACAATCGTAACACTTAAGGTTAGGAAGGCGAGAAAGGAAAAAGGCGATTGGAATAGAGAGACAAAAATAGAATTTACGAGTATTAAAAAAGGAAAATTCGGTAAATGAAAAAATTAAAAATACGAAGAAGCTGGTCAAGGACATGCATGAGGAAATGTGCCGCATTCTCTCTAGAGGAATGATTAAGTTACAGATGAGACGACTAGACAGCTAGGGGTCTCCCTTTCAGAGACCTTAAACTAACACTGCACCTCTGTGGTTAAAAACTAAAGGATTTTTAAGGAGAATTAGATTAAAAATAGTTTTGTGAAGCAACTAGAGAATCACTCCTTCATATGTAATGCTAGTTCAATTGCATATAAACGCTGATCAGAGTATGATATGTAAAATATTGACGATCTGATGGATAAAAAACGCCTGATTAAATTCAATTAGAAAATTTGAGGGATTCGAGTCGAGTAAAAACTTCAAGGGGGGAACAGTCGCGTCTGGTGCTGCATATAAATGATAATACCAACCCATAATTTTTTATATAAGATACTTAGGTTTTCACCTTTCAACTTCCACTTTTAGTGGTCCCTTATACGAATAATTTTAATCACTTTGCTGCCGTAAGTAGCATAGAGTATAGGTAGCTTAGTATTATTATGTCGTCTGTTTATGTATTTTAACAAGTGAAATTTCTAAGTTAATTAAAGATTAATATCGAATGAACAAGAGTATATCAAAACCACTGACCACAGAAGATTGTACATGGATATTCATATGCCGGATTTTACTAATTTACGTAATTAATGGACAGTATACAAATGTATGGCTCTAAATATAGTCCTTAAAGAGTTGAAATGAATAAAGCTATAGGTCAGTAATTTTGGAAGGACAGGGTAGAAGAACCAAATAGGAAGTAAACAGTCAAAAACGAAAAAAAGAATGAAAATATAATACCAATTAATCAACTTAAAAAGGCAAGTAATGGTATGGAAATAAATATTCAAATAAGTTTAGAGATGATGTTTTCGTAAATAATGCGAATGGCAAAAAGTTGGAAATTTGTAAACCTTAAAAAATTTAAAAATTCTTACTTTAATATAGTATTAGTGAGTAATTTATGGGTTCAAAATTTTAAGAAAATCCTGAGGTTTATAGTTGCGTTATTATTTACCTATCATTTCGCAAAATCTTAACAGTTGCCTTTTGACTTGACTTCCTGTGATGGTGGGTCTGTGTTTCTACCAAGTCTTTGAAATTATTATAGTACTTATTAGTTTTTTCATGCAGCCGCAAATACCTGTTTAAAATCTGAGTTATGCTTAGGATGTTATTGAATTCTATTATGGTTTTACAAATAATATATTATTTATTTTCCTGGTTTTTCAGTTTAATAATGTTTTACTAAACAGTCCTCATGTCTACTTGTGTTGTTTATTATCCATCTAGATTTTGTTGATATTATTTCGAATTAAGTCCTCCATTTATTGCGATTATTTTTTTGTTAGTACGAGTAAATGTATTCATGGACATACGCCTATCCTCTTCACAGCTCTTATTGCTCCATTACTGATTTTTAGGAAAATTTCACAGAGCTTACTAGCAGTAGCTTCAAATTCCTGATCATTTTGGATTATCTAATGCGATTACTCTTCCGATTGATGTGATAACGTCATATGTTTGCTTTCATGTCCAAATTGAGCTCTCAACATTTCATTTTATAAGCTCTTATTGAATCTCATTTTTGCCATTTAAACAATTTAATTTTCTGACTTTTATTTCCTTAATAGGTGAATCACAGTTCCCTGTTAACAGATGATGAGAATCAAAAGATATTGAGCTATCTTCATCCTCATCGAATTGCTCGTATTATTACGGTATTGAGAATCTACAAACCGGATTCTAGCGGGAGCTTATGGCTTAAACATCATGCTGGTGTGGCCACAATTGAACGCGATAATTCAAAATACTACATTCGTCTCTATGACATTGAAAAGATGTCTCAACTTTTTGAACAACAAATATTCATCCAAATGGAATACACACAACACAGTTCCACAATAGCGACTTTTAAAGGAGACGAGTGCCCAATATTAATGTCTTTCTCTTCAGCTCAAGAGGGGACGGAATTTCAGAAAGTTCTCAATAATCTCATTAACCGATTTATCAAGCATACAAATGAGATATCACGAACAACTACAACATTGAATGGTAACGCCACCACTGTACTAAATATGCCTCAATCGGGACTCAAGACTGTTGGTCTTTCGGGCACAGCTGCTAACGCCTCTGCGGTGCACACTTCAAAACTCTGGAACACCTTTAGTAGCGTCCGTAAAAAGGTACTCTCTAGATTTTGTTGAACCGAATAATGTTAGCGAAATTCATGTGCACAACTTTCTTAGCGTTTGTGATTACTTTGTCTTGAACCTTTTTTTCGAATTGGTACACACAATTGATTTTTAATGCTTTTTATCACCAAACATAATACTATATCTGAAGGATTATTAGAGTTCATTGCCTACTTTTTGATTTACTTGTTCGATTCTGAGTATTCTCGCTAATTATAGTGGTAACTACTTTGATGCAAAATGTGGGGAAGGGTAACCGAAGTCGCTAACTGTTAGTCTTTATTAATTAAGGTTTATATTCGCATTTAACAATTATGCGATATAAGCACTTTTAGTGTGGGTTTTAATATGCAATGTTACGCTCCGTGGTTGTTTGGGTTTCTGCGTGCGCTTATCACCCCTTAGCCAGTTAGATAGTTTGTTTCTTCTTGCTTTCTTCTCTATGGTTCCACTGGATCTCATTTCCTTTAATGCACTTACGTCATACATGAAATCACACATCACTTACCTACTCTGATGCCTGGCAAACACAATGTATGTGCGCGTGTGTTTTGCTATCCTTCGTACTAACCTTTAATTTTTTATTTACTTTTTAGAAGACGAACAAATCGGATTTGATAAGCAATCCCTTCGGATTTCAGCATTTGCAGCACTTGGGATTCGACAAGGAGACCCAGCAATTCGATGCGGTGGGAATGCAAGATGATCTCTTCCGCTCATTTCTTGAACTCGGTGGTCTCAGTGAACAAGTGAAAACAGACTCCCAAAAGGAGTTCGCCATCAACTTCATCAAGGAGAGGGTCGGCATTGATGAAGTAAGTTATAGAATTGATGAAATCTTCCACTTGTGGTGTAATGGGTCTCCTTTGTTTCACATGATGTACAAAGCGCACACCTCACTTTAATATAACCTCAGGTTTCATTGAGGAAACCAAGTAAAGGATATTAATACTCAGGCAGCAAACTCTATATATATATATATATATATATATATATATGAAGTAACGTTAAAATGTGCATTGTTTTCTAGGATTTATTAATTACTACTCTAGACTTTAAAGAATGCAGCAATCCTCTATCTCTCTTCATATGAGCGGGTTGTGAAGAGGAAAAGTTTCTTGTTTGATAACATCGACAGAGATTCCAGAGCTATGATTCACTGGATCGAATATATGTTTGCTAGAATTTTCGTTGAAGACATTCAAGTTACCCACGGATTTTAGTTGGCTGTTTATTCAATGACATGATGATAAAGAGGTGTAGGGAGGAGCGTTAGTTAAAATCTAGTGGGATTAGAGCCACGTTTTTCATTTGCTGCAGAACAGGATTTAGAGCCGACGGAGAATGAAAAATAGGTTATAGCATCTTTTTACTTCGTTTCCTCTAGACATCCAAAGGGCTTGACATTATACTATGATTTAATTGTGCCATTCTGTTCAACTCAGGTACCATAGAATCGTTAGAAGTGGATTGGAGTTCAACGAACACTTTTACCGGTTCTAAATTGAAATGAAACGCCTAATTGTCTGTATGCTTGCATCCGAGAATTTAATTTCCAATGAGTTTTTTTTCTACAAATTAAATGAAACATTACCTTTTCGTCTCCTGACCCTGTATCCACAATAAGTGTTTGGGTTTCTAACCCTCCCAGGTGTTACATTTATGTGCCATTCTCGTTTGCAATAGGAAGCTTTTTAATTGTGTGCAGCAACAGCAATGTGATATTTCTTTTCTTCTGTTCATGTCGTTGACAGATCTGATTGTACTTCCACGGCAGATTTCCCTGTAATCCGGTGCGTGCTCGGCTTCGAGGGCGATGTGATGCCTTCTTTTGCTTTTTCTGATGAGAGCCTTAGATCGAAATCAGGTGCTATTTGGAATTCTTGACCACTGCAGTGGTATGGCCTTGAGTAACGAATGGGTGTGGACAACAATAGGTCATACATATGATGGCAGCAAGATTCGGTCCCTAACACACTTCAGGGAAGAGTCAAAAATAGTTGCCACTTTCGCGAATTCAGATCTTAACTCGGTGGACTACTATACAATTATTTGGCGCTATCTAGGAGAATACTAATTGTCGTGCCAGTACTATAAAATCCCAGATAATGGAGAGGATTAAAGCATTTGAGTCAATTTTCAGATAAAGTGCAAAACCAGCTTGCTCCAGGTTCCAGAGTCGAACTGAGGTTACAAAAAGTGCAAATGATAAATGTTTGGAGTGAAAACCCCCTACAAAGAAAGAATTTCCTCGTCTATTAAATCTTCCTTAAATATGCTAACATTTGAAGTGACCAATAACTCTACTTTATCCCGATGGGATTGACAAGCCTGCCTCAAACTTATGTATAGCTCGTTCAAAATCGTTACCATACTTCGTTGAAAATATTAAGAACGTCTCTTTTGGGGAAACTGAGATCTCTGGACAGTTGCGGAAAGGCCATGTGTGGGATTTATTCACTCCAAGTAAAAATGTCAACTTTTGGTTGGATTCGATGGTTCTGTAGTGAACTTTTTGTTTAAACTTAGCAATTAAATTTTCGAATCTCGCTATGCGTGCGTCGTAAGAGCCGTAAGGTATTAGGATAATTGGTTGTCAGCGATATATTGTTGAATGCTCAATCACTAGGTATCTTCTTTTTCTACTAGTTTACAAAAGCAATGAGGCATCAAAAGCCGTCGCGACCAGCTCCACCTCCACCACCGTGCACAGACTTTAATAAAAGACCTCAGCAACCTGTAGCAGCTCCGCGCGGGTTTCCTCGGAAGCCCTCCGGCCCCCCTCCTCCTCCTCCAGGTGGGTTACCGTCTGCGCCGAGGAATCCTCCACCACCACCACCTTCGAGACCTGGGATGCCGCAACAGTCAGGAGACATCGTGGACTCTGTAGCTCCACCACCACCACCACCCCCTCCACCACCATCCGCCCCCACTGTCATTTCTCTGAGTTCCGGAGATGGCTCTTCGTCGGCACCCAAACCTCCCATTGCCGCTATTCCTATGTCCGTGGGCGACGAAATTCGCGCTTTTAACAAGAACAATCTCAAAAGCGTGAGTGTCTGTTTTGTTTGTAGTCAAGGCATCAAGTTTGTCATCGATTTGCATTATCCGCTAATATAATAGGTGGTAGCCTTGTGAAATTGCAATACTGAGCTAGAAGGTACACAGTGGTTGGCTGAAAATAAATGCAGAAACATGGTAAAGCATGGTTTTGGTCTCAGTTGTAGTCATTATCTTAATTAGTACTCAAGCCGGAACGCAAGTTTTTTTCATTTTAGTTGGGTAAAGTAGCTACAAAGAGCACAGCGAAATGGCTGCAGGGATTAAAGGTTGGATTGGATAGAAGTAGAGAATATTGTCACTCATCATATTTGCGTTTCCCTCGCAAAGTGATATTGATCTTGTCCTTGAAACGTCTCTTTGTATGTCAAGACTATGCAAAACAGTTTCTCAAAATACTATCCAACTTGGGCAGTTACTCAGCATTCTGGCATTGTAAGAACCAGTGGAACTTGTATTTTATGGACCGAGGTTAGTAACCTAAGTGGAAATATTGTTGGATTGATTAAGAGCTCTGATATTTAACCACGATAATAGTCGGAATCTCAAAATGTTCTTACATGCCTGCAACGTTCAATTAATTTGATACTTGGTCATGTCAATTCAACTTGAATATCCGAGAGCTGCTTCTACCTGATACTGTATAAGATGCTTTTGATATAGCGTATGAAATTTCATTTTTTGTATTGTAATGTTCATTCGATATCTTGAAGTTTGAATTGTGCCATCATTTCCATCTTTAAAATGAGGCCGTTGTAACTTCATCGTCCGATTTTTTTCTACTTTGTTCTATTAAACATAAGAACTATAGTCTTTTATAAAGGCAAACGGCTAATGTATTTCCATTAAAATCCTGTTCCTAAAATGAACTCAGTGCCATACATGCAATTGCTTGTGTTTGCAAAGTTCAATAGTTGTGGGGAATTTAAGTACTCTTACGTCCACTTATGTCCTTTCACTACATTTTTTGTTTGTGAACAAGACTATTCTCTCAACTGATTCTTAAATGATTTTTGTCTTTAGTAAGTAAGATTTCCATCTACGTGAAATATTTTTTGCCCAAGTACTTGCATTCACTTACAGTGACTGTCTTCATTTACCTATCGGCAGACGTGTGTAGTGCGTCGCACATTTACCAATCTTTGCCCTTAAAATCTTTCGGTAGTTTAAAATTCGTTCAACTTTTTTGTCATTGAAACTCCTATCCTGTGTGAATATGGACTTTGATTGTATTTTCTCATCCACATATATTTTCTAATGTTTCTTATTTTCATTTAAAATTAATGGATGAAATTCATACTTTTGGCAGATAATATGCTATATCAGTCTTCAGCTACGCACTTCACTTTTACGACTCCCGTTATAAATGCTACTTAAATGTTAAAAGTAAACAATATTGACATTTTCGGGATTAGTCGTTAGAAAAAGCTTGTGTGTTCTTTATTCGTATTGAAATCTGGGAAGCGGTGCTTCTGCTGATACTGTGCGAGCATTGCTGCTAGTTGCTGAATATTCGAGAGCAATTCCCCAAGCTGGCCCATCGCATGGCTCTGAGAGTGTAAATATAACGTCGGTCTTCTCCCTGTATTATGGGGTACCCAAGGTCTGCTGTTATCAGTCATCTTGGTACTATTATGGATTGATTCTGACAATTGCGAAGAATTTATAACACCTTAAAAATCGAATTTTAGTTAGTTGCTGCCTGGGTCCAGAGATTTCGGCTGTTCCATCTACGTTAATTTACGATTTTTTATTTGTGAACGGGGCTATTCTTCGAATCCTGCTTTTCCAAAAAAGTGGCCATTAAATATCTCTAAATAATCTAACTTCCATCCTCACAATGTTATCGGTCCTGACTTGTTTACCTAACGTGTTTTTACTGCTCTTAAATACTAAAAATCATTTCACCGTATTCAATATGTTCAAACCCCCCACTTCTCTTCCGCTCTCCCTTATGTTCCAATTTGAGATTGTATAAGTTAAAGTAGTACTTTTCCAGGATAATATGGATTGCTAAGTTGAAGAATTAAAATTTTTTCGAATCTTTTCATTCTCCTTGTTACATTGAAATGTATTCTATGTTCCTCGATCGATGTTTACAATAAACTTCGTTTTTTTCTGGATTAATCAATTTTATTATTGCCATATTGGAAGGCATCCAAATGGAACTGTTCTTATCAATAACATTTAAGTGGTCTTCCTTTGC